GTTGGTTTGAGGTGTGGAGGGTTGGGTTGGGTTGGGTTAGGTTGGTTTGAGGTGGGGAGGGTTGGGTTGGGTTAGGTTAGGTTGCATTTGCATGGGTTGCATTGGTAGCACTGAATCACACTAAGCCATTTGCTGAGTACTCTTGGTCCCAAAACAGAGGGCTAAAAAATGTCTCTTTTATAGTCTTTCAGCAACCTGAGGGCAGAAAGGGGGATCAATGCAAAAGAAACAGACAGGAATCATATATGATTCATTGTTGAATTCTGGTGGGATTGCCCAAGTAAATCATGCCCCGGGCAAACTAGCAGAGTAAAAGTCACCTTACAGAGCTGTGTGTGGGGAGGGGGTCCTTCTGTCACATTGCCCCGAAGATATGGATCCAACTACCCTCATGGTCAGGGACCACAGAGGCCCCAGTCCAGTTCTCATCCCTTCATGTGCAAATCATGTGCCACAGCCCCAAGCCTGGCAGAGGTTCCTGGAGAATGGCAACTCCTTGAGCACCAGCTTGGTACTCCATGCCGCTCACCTCCTCTCTCTGTCTCTAAACCCACGTCAGCTCTCTTCAGGAGGTATGGTCACCATCTTTTTACACACAGAGAAGCTGAGATAAAAATGAGGGCTCAAGTTTATGCAGCTAATCATGGGCAGAAGCTGGGTTTAGATCTAGGTTTGTAGGACCCTGGGAGGTTGAGTTCTTTCCACTTCTTCACATGACCTTTCAACAGGACAGAAATCAGCACAAGCCTGTCATCTTGGAGGATCTTTAAGCAAGATATGTGTCTTCCATGGGGGCAGTTGGAAGGGCTTCCAGGTAGGGCTGGGGGAGGGGTATCATAGCCTGTGGGAGACCAGTAGAGTAAGGAAGTTTCCTGCCCCTCAACGGTCAGAGACAAGAAGTGATGACAACCAGGGGCTGTTGATGGTGTTCCCCTACCTTCTACCCATCTGACTTCTAAGCCTCAGTTTTTCCAATGCATTCTGTAAAAAGGAGTTTTTATCTCAGTTCATTCAACAGGCATTTGTGGAGAGACTACAGTGTGCCAGGCATCAGGCTAGATGGAGAGAAGTCGGAGGCTTGGTTCTGGTTGTGTCGCACGTGACTGGGATTGTGGGTCTACCCTCTCTTCCTGCTACTTCCAAGCCGGAGGGCCCCGGGAATGTCCATTTACCTCACCAAGGTTCAGTTTATCCCCATGGAAAATGGGAAGAATAATAATAATGCCCAAGGCTCAGGTCGGCTGTAAGGACTGAACTGAACACGGTGTGTGGGGAGCACTTAGCACAGCCGCCAGGGTGTGGGCCACCTCGGGGACAAGGCGGGATTGTGCTGGCTTTTATGCAAAGGCAGAAAGTGCCGCTGAGCCGGGAAGAAAATGAAAAGAACAGTGGCTCACATTTCTTGGCCCACTCCTTCTCAAATACCATATTCTGCATAAAAATATCCTTCAAAAGTCACGGCCAAACCCCCACGGCGGTGGGAATGCCCTCCCATGGAGGGAAAGCCACCCTCACACAGCGAGTGTCGTTTCAGACGCAGCTGGCACCGGGAACAGGCGGATGGAGGAGTGACAACACGCACAGCCGACTGTCAGGGCGGCCTCGGCAGGGAGTGTCTGGGTGCTCGCCGAGTCCTTCAATGCTTCTGTATTTTTGAAAATTTTCATAATAAAACGCTGGGGGAAGTGGAAATGTAGCCAGCCCCAGCCCTGCAGGAGAGGGTGGTTCCAAGCACCATTTCCTCATTTCTTTGAATCTCTTAAAACCTTTTCCTCATAACCCCACAGCTTATAAATGTTTGAACAATTATGACTGTCAGGTGCACAAACAAGGCCCTCACACACAGCCTATTGTTCCGCAGATGGAAACATCTGTTAGATTAGATTATTTTTTAAACCCGGGGTGAGGAGAGTGGGGGACGGGGGTGTTGATAAAAGGCTTCCTGACCTGGGCTTGTGAACAGCCACACTGAGAAAATCTGGCTTTTCAGGAACTTCCCCTGGAGCCACCTTCCTTTACCAGGACACAAGCTTAACTCTTTCAAACCAAAGGCTTCTTTGCAGTGGGCACAATAGCCCTGTTCTTGTGCTACAATATTTTTTTTTAAATCCAAATGGTATATCTAAGCCCATGACTGACCCCAACCTAACTTGGGGGTTTTAACACAGTGATGAAGGGCTCAGGGTTTGAGAGCTCAGCCTGGAGCCAGACTGCCTGGGTTTGAATCACATTAGCTTTGTACTTACCCTCTCTGTGCCCATCTATAAAATGGGAGCAATCACTGTTGGCTTTTTAGTGAATTAACAAAAATATTACAAGAGCTGAGAGTAGATGAGACCAGCGCATAGTAACAGATTGTTGTTACTTACAGCCGTGTGCTGCATAATGACATTTTGGTCAAGGACAGACCACCTATATGATAGCGGTCCCATAAAATTATAATCCTGTATTTTTACGGTACCTTGTCTATGTTCGGACATGTTTAGAGATACAAATACTTACTATTGTGTTATGATGCCCTACAGTTTCAGTAAGTCACATACTGTCCAGGTTTTCAGCCTAGGAGTCATGGGCTGTATCCCACAGCCTGGGTGTGCAGTAGGCTACGCCACCTGGGTTGTACAAGTGCACTCTCTGAGGTTTGCACAGCGAGGAAGTTGCCTGGTGACCCATTTCTCAGAATGTATCCCTGTCCTTCAGCACTCATGACTGTATTATTATTAAGAACTTAGTAATTCTTCTGAGATCATGGAGGAAACCATGAAAATGGCTAAATGAAAAGGTTAAACGGTTACTATGAAAATGGTAAAGTGTAAATGGAGATAATGGGTGAGGTTATTGTGATAATAATAGGACCCTCCTCCTAGGGCTGCTGTGAGGATGAAACAGCATCGACCATGCCAGGGAAATTGCTGTGCAGAATGCCCTGGCTCAATCAAATGTTGTCTGTGAAAGCTTGTAAGGCATGCAATGGGACACTGGCTCTTACCTTTGTGACAGGAAAGCCGCCTGCCTTAGGCTGTGAGCCATGCTATGAAATGTACTAACAGCCGCAGAAAGAACCCAGCCTGTCTGCTTCTCAGATGCCTGGGCCCCATTCCACTGGCTCCCAGACGGCCGTGACCTCGATACGGTGTGCGCGCCAGTGGCTGGCCTGACCCCCTAATCGTGACCGCCCACCTCGCCAGGATGACCTACATTTCCACAGTGGCGGCTGGAGGAGACATTCCAGGGTAATTAGCAAACACACACACACAGACACACACACATATAGACATACACACACACACACACACACACAGCAGCTCAGGCCTGGCTGTCGCTGGCACACTCGCTGTCTAGACAGGGCTGGGAGCTGAATGGCCTCCTGCCAGGGAGGTAGGCTGCTTGGGGCTGCAACCAGGACAACTGAGGTGGGGAGAGAGGCTTTTCCTGTTCACTGGGGCAGAGACCCCTGAGAAGAGGAGCAGCAGTGATCGTTCCTCCCCACCCTAAACAGGAGCTTCCAGTCATGTCCCTTCCAAGGAAAGTCTCCTCAGGAAATCATCAGGCAAGAGAGCCCGGGTCCAGCTACAGGGGAGCTTGATGCACTGCTGTTTGTAATAATGAAAAATGGGAAATAGCCTTTCAGAAAGAGTTAGTTAAGCATATTATGGGGCCATCACAAGCGGGACCAGCAAGTGGTTACTGACAATTGTGTCGAAGGAGATGGTCTGATGGCATGTGGTGACTGTCATAAAATATTAAGTTTCAAAAAAGCATGATTCAAACTGGCATGTCATCAGGGACTGCAGTCATTTTTCTAATAGGTGCACAGAAGAGTCATTAGAAAAGCACATGTAGGAGGCTTGGTGCTTATCTCTGGGCATGATATCTGGTCACCAGGGCACTTTGCATGCTCCCACCCATGGTTGGAGTGCAAATACCAAGGACACTAGACCAAGACCCTGGACTGGCTGGCCCAACACCAAGGTTCTGGTCCTTTCCCTGCTCCAAATTCCAGTACACCTAGCTGGTATTTTCCAAACACCAGTCACGCAGGGACCACCTTCATGACTTTTGCCCACGACACTATAATTTACTTAGAATTATTCTTCAAATTGATTCACGATTTTCACAAAAGCAAAATGATTTTTAAAAGAAAACCTTATATCACAGTTGTGGTTGGGAAAATCAAAAACAGAAGGTGGCTGTAAAGATAAACACATCATTATTAATTTTTAAAAAATCCATCTAACTAACACAAGAACTGAAAACCAAACACTGCATGTGCTCACTCATAGGTGGGAGTTCAATGAGAACACAGGGACACAGGGCGGGGGGCATCACAAACCGGGACCTGTCAAGAGGGTGAGGGGTGGGAGAGGGATAGCATTAGGAGAAATACCTAGTGTAGATGATGGGTTGATGGGTGCAGCAAAAACCACCATGGCACGTGTATACCTATGTAACAAATCTGCATATTCTGCACATGTACCCCAGAACCTAAAGTATAAAAAAAATTCCTTGTGTGCCACCTAAGGTCATCTTGCCAATGATATGTAGGCCACACATTGGCCGACACTGCCTTTACTCAACCTCTTTATTTACAAAATTAGATGGCTGAGGCTCGGAAGGGACAAGATTTCCCTGGGGTCATTCAGGTTGCCAGGAGCTCTGGGTGCTGGTTCAGGGGCTACTTACATGAACCTGTACTTATCCTGACCTCACTCGTCCTAGCAGGTCTGTCTCCACGGGGATGGGGCCAATCAGTTCCCGACCCAACCCATCACTGAGCTCCCAGGAACCTGACTGAGCCACGAGGGTCCAGCCTGTCCCCCTCCAGCCACATCCTCTGTTCAGTGGAGGTCCCACATATCAGACATTCCTCCCATGCTAAGTAGAAAGCTCAACCACAGCACATGAGCTTCAGATTAAATTATTTTTTAATTTCATGGTGCTCAGTTCCACAGTCAATTAATTCCATTTCATTTTCAAGGGTCCCATCACCCTGCTGCCTTCTTTTTCTAGCAGTTCCAGTGATTTTCTAGAGTTAATCAGAGATTTTTTGTGTTTGGTTTTAAATATGTGTAAACGTATGGTCTGTCTGTGTCCTTTTTCCCGTTCCTTCTCCTGACTGCACCCACGCTGGACACCCCAGGCTGAGGCTGGAGGGGGCATGAGGAGTGGGCCTCCACCTGGCCCCTTTAGGAGGTGGAGGACAGAGGAGCATTTCCACATCCAGGTGGGTGCCTGCACTACAGCAGAAGGGAACCACTGCCTCCTGGAGGCCCTGGGCCCTGGGAACTCCCTTAGTTTGCATCCCTGCTGTCTTTTCCTCTTATGGAAACCCTTCACCACCTGGATGTGTCTGCAAGCACTTGGCCCTGACTCCTTTGCAGGGCTGGGCATGTGACTCAGGCTGGCCAATCAGAGTAGTCCATGCCCTGGGACAGCAAGATAGGCTGAGGAGCAGTCACATGACCTAAGCAGGGCCATTCAGTGTCCTGTGGAGGAATAAAATGGCTTCTGTGTAAGAAATGATTGTGATCTTTTTCTCTAGGCTTCTTAGCTGTGAAGGTCATGGAGCTCAAGGCTGCTGGAGACCACCCCTGCTGTCACTTGGAACTCAGCCTCCCTGATCGTGAAGCCAAATAGCAGAAAGGAGAGCCAAGAGATGTCAGGAGGAAAATAAGTCCTGCTGTTGGCCAGTAAGACCCTAGGTACAACTGTGCCTGAAGGCCACCAAACTTCCCAACTTTGAAGTTGTATGTGCCAGTAAATTTCCCTTTTTCATTGTTGTTAATTTAGTTTGTTATGTCGCCTTCCCTTGTTCAAGTCAGCCAAGGAACATCACTGTGTGTCACGTGTCCTCCTTCCTTTCCCTTGCCTCGAGTGCCCTGCCTCATCCAGGGAAATCCTAGAAGATAGAGGTGACAAGCACGCAGGAAGCTTTATGGAACATCCAACTCCTCAAGACTCAGCTCAGGCACCACCTCCTCCAGGAAGCCTCCCCTGGTGCCCTAGTGTGCCTTCTCAGGCTGGTTCATAGCCCGTCTCTGCTGGCCCACAGCTTTTATTGAGGGTAGCACCACGCATAAGGGCTAGACTCTGGAACTCACATGTCCCTGATTGGAATGTCAACTCTTGCCAGTTGTGTGACCTTGAACATATGAGTAACCTATCCGTTCTTTGGTTTCATCATCTATAAAATTAACATCAGTCTCTCTACCTAGTTCCACTTTCTTGTGAGATTTGTCACTGAGTTAGAACAGAGGCCAGCACATGGCTGCTCCTCAGGTATTAATAGTATTGGTCATCATTTTTATGTTCTGTATCACTTTTGCCATAACTGCCTTTTACTTCCTTGTCTTAAACCACAAGCCCTTTCCCTTCCCTTTTCCTTCAATTCCTTTGGTTCTCCAGACCCCACAGTGCCTGGCATGTAATGAGCCTGAGAGAATGTCGGTTGAATAATGTGTGCCCCCAAAACTGAACAGGCAAATCTGTATCTTCTGCTCTTCTTTCTACCTGTCAAGAACTCTGACTTTGCCATCTCGTTTCTGGCTCTCATCCTAAAAATAGGATAATGAGCGAGCGGGAGGTGGAGAGAAATAGAAGTGAAAGGGAATGAAGACAAACACAAGGGTTGGGGGTTCAGGATAACAGATGGGCTGGGCGGGTTACGGAGGTGCTCACACCTGGCTGGGCGCTGGAATCAGCCAGATGCAAGGGTTCCCAAACAAGCCCCCTGGGCCCTACCCTGGAGACTCCCACCTCATCTGTCTGGGTGGGGCCTGGAACTTCCCAGGTGATCCTGTGCTATGAGGCCAGGGCTGAGAACCCTGGGACAGAGGATGGGAGGAGCTTCGATGCACAAGAGAAATGAAGCTCCTTGAGTGTTTTTGAGAGATTTCAGCAAAGATTAGTTCCTGTTCAACTATTTTGACCCTCAGCTGGTTGTTTCTTTGACTATGACCCAGTTCTAAGATAGGCTGCCAATGGGACTCGGTTTTATCTAATGCGAGTGTGTGAATGAATGAATTAATGAGAGGAGGTTTGTCTCCCAACACACACCAGTAATCACAGATACAGCAGCAAGGAAAAGTGGAAGAGGTGTTCCAACACAGGGGGCTCAAACCCCTCATCCACCTCATCAGCCTGTGTTCGAGAGAGAGAGAGGCGCTGGGGTTTATGGCTGTGGTCACTTCCCTGCCCTGATCTTAATTATAGGAGACCCACTGGCTCAGCAGTCTCTAAGTTGCAGGTAGAGAAATTAGATGTGATATCCAAATCCTTTTTTTCTTTTTTCTTTTTTGGAGGCAGGGTCTCATTCATTGCCCAGGCTGGAGTGCAGTGGTACAATCATGGGTCACTGCAGCCTCAACTTCCTGGGCTCAAGCAATTCTCCCATCTCAGCCTCCTGTGTAGTGGAGACCACAGGCAGGGACCACCATGCTTGGCGAATTAAAAAAAAAAAAAATTACACAGATAGAGTCTTCCTATGTTATCCAGGCTGGTCAGCTTAAGGGATCCTCCCACCTCAGCCTCCCAAAGTGCTGGGGTTACAGACATGAGCCACTGTACCCAACCCTAGATCTTGACTAGTAACATATAGTCAGCTAGACATACAGATGGTTGTACCATTCCTTGTGAACTTCTCTAGGGACACCCTTTGAAGAAAGTGTCTGAGGGTCATATCAGAGCAGCTGAAGACAAGGCCCCGCCCACAACGGGATCGTGGGTTCAGGAAAGATCCTTCCCAAGGACCAGTCGGCGGGGCTGTGAGTTACTGGGAGCAACAGGAAGAGGATTTCATGTAGGACTCATGGTGCCTGGAGCCTGTTCCACTTAAGAGAAATTAAGCTGTCCCGAGTATGAAAGGAATAATGTCACTCCTGGGAGTTCCTGTCCTTTCTTTAATAAGTCCACAGGGTGCCCAGGCAGTTTTTGGTGCTTGGAGACACAGCTGCAAACAGGTCACCTTGCTCTGAACCCACAGGTGCTCACCGTCTAGTGTCTAGCAGGGAAAGACACACCAAGCAGAGGGATGGCATGGGTGAGTGCTCTGAGCAGGCCCGACATGTTCCTAGGACCTACTGAGAGACGCCTGGGAAGCTGCCTGAACAGGAAAGGCTGATCTGGCTTGAGGTTTCGTGGTCTTAAAGGGAGAAATATAAGAGGAGGGTCAACAGGAGTTGAGGAGGATGAAGGCTGTTTCCTCTCCTCCTTCTCTGCTGGGCTTATTCCTATGGCCACTGCAACACCCCGGGAGCTCCAACAGAAGGACCCCTGGAGTTTGTGTGTGTCTGTAGGAAAGGGACCGAAGTGCCAATTCCTGGCTATCTGTCCACCATGCCTCCTGGCGAGCTGCCTGCCACCAGATGACACCAGAGAGGGACAGGAACACTGGGGAGGGGATACATGGTCACATGTCGCCTAGAGAAGGGGCAGATTTGTGTTTGTAACAAGCACCTGCAGATAGTTCTTATCACAGGAGGGACATTCGTTGTCTGGTGCCCCTCATCTCTGCCACCCTTCCCAAGCCAGCCTCATTCTCTCTCTCTGGAGACTCCCATTCTCCCACCCTTCCCAAGCCAGCCTCATTATCTCTCTCTGGAGACTCCCCTCCTTGGCCCTGCCGCCCCTGTGCACTGGGTTCGGGAGACTTCCCGATTTCAAGCCCCCAACAGAGCCCATTGAGAATCTGTGTGCCTCCCAGGTCTAAATTCTTCTGAGAAAGAACTTGATTTGGATCGGGGCACAGCTCTGGTCCAATCAGCTGTGGCCAAGGAGGGGTGAGGTCGTGGTACAATTGTGGCTCGTGGGGCCTCCCTTGTGGGTATAAGGAAGAGAGTTCTCAGAGCAGAGGTACCCATCCAAACTGCTGTCTCCCATCAATGTGTGCTTGTGCTCCCCAGGAAACCCCACTCCACAATTCAGGTTATGAATTTCTCTCTTCCTGGTAAATTTCCAGGCCTCACAGCACACCCAGCTTCAAAGGAATCTGTCAGAGAAACTCAGTAATGACAATATGATATGCTTCTTCAAGAAGTTTCTAGAATGAGAGCTCTCAGCAGACAGGGGCTGTTGCCTCGTTTGTCCTGTGCACCCCAGCCACTCCTGCTATGTCCATTAAGCACTAGGACCTACACGCCATTGGCACTCACTGTTACGGGCTGGATTCTGTCCCCTCGGAATTTGTATGCTGAAGTCCTAACCCACGTCTTAGAATGTGACTGTATTTGGAGGTAGGGCATTTAAAGAGATGATTAAAGTTAAGTCATTTCATAAGGGTGGACCCTAATCCAGTGTGACTGGCATCCTTGTAAGAAGAGGAAGAGGAAACAGGGAAGGATACACAGAGAGGCCATGTGAGGACACAGTGAGGAATGGCTGTCTGCAAGCCCAGGAGAGAGGCCTCTGAAGGCATCAAACCTAGTGACCTCTTAATCTTAGACTTCCAGCCTCCAAGGCTGTGGGAAAACACATTACTGTTGTTGAAGCCACTTAGTCTGTAGTATTTTGTTATGGCAGCCCAGGCAGACTAATACGCCCCCTAAAGGGATGCAAAAATGGTGGAACTGGTCCTCCCACCGAGAGCTTAGACCCATCTACTGACTGCAAACGGCAGTCTAGGTTAGCTCTTGGTTAAAAGAGAAACAAGAACCAGTTTATCAGGAGTCCTGGAGCTTTTACTGGTGAGGACAGGGGTCTTCTAAAGGCCCCAGGGTCAGGGCAGGACCCTGATGTGTGTGGAGAAAGTGACCCACTACTCATAACCGTGGCTGGCATGCAGGGGACACCTGACGACTTTGCTCTGTAGTCCTGCCCTACACTGAGCTTTTGAATTACTATCTACTCTAAACTCTAGTTTCAAAATTTCTTAGACTCTTTTTATTGGCGAAAGCAAAGGCCTGAATTTGGCGTTGGAGGTCAGACCGCTCTCGTTTGAAAAGAAAAAGGAAAACACATTTCCATGGGTCTTTGACTCTACAGAGATTAAACAAAACCCTACTTTGCTTGGTGATATTTAGGAATGAAGGAGCCAGGCTGCTTCCTGGGGATGAAGCAGCAATTGTGCCTCAGGAGAGGAGCAGTGGGCCCCCCTCTCACCGCTCCGGCCACTCCGCTGGAAAGAGATCGTCTCTCCCCACTGACCGCCGACATCAGCACTCACTCCCGTGAGACGGATGCTAGGCCAGGTCATGCCAACCACCCACCAGGCAGAGCGATGGGAAGGCTGACAGCCAAGCCTGGCCACATGGGCACCCCTGAAGCCTGGGGTAGAGCTGGTTCCCAAAACTTGTAGACAGAGTGAAGAGAGAGGCAGTTTCCTATGGAAACAGGGGAGTTTTTAACTAGAAGAACGGGGAGTGGATATGGCACAGGCCGCAGTGCCCATGTGCCTCTGCTGAGTTCTGGAGGACACTCCCTGTTGTTTCTGAACCCAGGTTCCACTGCTTGCAGCTCAAAAGCCAAAACTCAAGAAATGAGAGTTAGTGGAAAGAAAAGCAGGTTTACTGGGAGAGTCAGCCAACCGAGATGATGAACTAGCCTCCTGAAGTATTAATACCTCCTTGAGTTAAGTCCATACAAATTTTAGGCTCTTTTTATGTTCAGGACAGGGGAAGAGGAGGGGATTGGGGTCAAGATGTAACAGATGACCACAGACATTGTCACCAGTGCGGGTCCAAGGAGACTGGGGACTTCCTTGTCCTTGGTCAGGTCACAATGCTCCTATAAATCTATTTTTAAAAACGTAGTTAGTTGTTTACATACTTTCCCTTTAATCCCAGAGTTCGTTTTTAAAACTCCATGATTGCTGTTTTTGCATATTATCTCAGTGCTCTAAAATTATCCCAGCCTCCGTGCAGAAGTGGATAAAGGCCCCTTAAGCAAACATGGAGTTGGTTATGTTCGTTCTTTTGCTGCTTCCCTGTTACACTGTCAGTTCCCCAAATCTCTCTAACATGGAGTGGTGCCTCCACAATCCCACTGCCTCTGTCTTGGGGCACGCCTTGGTTTCTACATAAGGGCCCCTCACCCATCTCACAGCTCTAGTCTCTTCACACATCCTTCTCCACCCAGCTGAGGTCTTTGAACAGCGGTGGCAGTTTGAGTACTAGGATTCGGTGAGACTCAGTCCAGGTAAACTGTATCTTAGAAGGCTCAGGAATGGATGCTTGGGACCTGTGTTGATCCTGGTCCTCCCATAAATTAGCAAATTACTTA